TGAGCCAGCAATCAAAATGAGTTTGAATATTACTTACAATTTTTTGGGCAAGTTGCATTTTCATTGATAGTGGCGATACAGCGGAAGAAAGAATCATACCTAATTTGTTGAAACGGATATATTTTTCTGGGATTATTATAGGCATTTTCCTCAAATACATAGACATAGGAATGACCAAATAGATAAAAGCTTCCATTAGCAACAAAACCTGTCAATATTGGCCATTGAACAGGCTTGATACAATATGAAGACTCATCTTCATTCCGTACTATGGTGATATTGTTACCGGATTCATCAAAACAAATGATTGATCCATAACTAGTTTTAAGTAATTTTGTCGAAATTTGCCTTATTGGTTTCTTACTATGCCAACGACGAATTCGAAGACTTGTTGTTTGTTGATGTATTGCATATAATAGGCATGGTTGGCTTGTTGAAATTACAATTGAATCAGCTTCAGAATAGTTCCATCCTTTTATTGCACTTCTAAGCTTGATATCATAATTGAAGGCACCTTGAGTTTGAGTGTAATCAGTTGCTACACAAATCCAATCACTTTCTTGATCAAACATAAACCATACTTGAAAGTTGAATTTCTTAATAGCCTCATAAAATTGGATAAATTGTGAATATTGAAGGCTGAGTGGTTGGGGCCAACTTATAAGATGTAATTTTTTATTTATCGTATCCAGTGCATAAGCTGGCACAACATAACTTAGGTTATTCTTGGTTATCAATCTTAAATATCCATCCCTCGTTATTCCAATTGCCAGTATATTCAAATTGCTACCACTATTTTGCTGGAAACTTTGGCAGATTGTCTTTGTTTTGTAAAATGCAACATTCATTATTCATTCATTTTTCCTTTTCAAATCAATACTCACATCTTTTGCATATGGTTCTGGAAGGTATTGATCCGTTCTTTGTGTCATTACAATCCATGTTTCAATCACAATCATCCACATCAGACAAATACCAATGTTCAATGTCCACTTTGACATTTTTCAATCGAAACCAAAAAATCACCAAGTTCGACTTCGAAATTCATTTAATGAATGTTTTGGTTTGTATTGTTGTCAATTAGGCCACAATTCATTTTCTAATACATTTCACAATTCATAGCAACTAACAATGTTTTTCTTCCAAACAATCATATTCGACTGATGGAATTTATTTATTTCATTTTTTCAATTTTCAAAATGCAATGTCACATAACAATCAAAATATCAACATTGAACAAAGTTGCTTTATTCATTCGCAAATGAATTTGATCGCGGTTGAGAAACGTGCCAATCAGTCGCAGGCCAAACTTGACGACCACGAAGGTGGATACGTTCATGTTTGTTTAGATGATCTTTACGACCAAAACGTTTTCCTGTTCTAGGTGTAACTATCCCTGCATAAGGCCATACTTATGCTGCTACAGACCCCAGTTCTTCGTTGCGCGTAAATGATTTGCCACAATCACTGAAATCGCATCGAAATGGCCGTTCACCTGAGCAACAACACACACAATCAAAATAAAAATAGTTACGTGTAATGAAGCACACACAATTTCAGTTTCAAAGTCATACAAATCATACAAATCAATTGCGAGTAAAATTGTTATAAATTATTGCTAATCATTCAATCAAATAATCATCGGTGATAATGATCATAAGGATCATCTGGGAATAGAATTGGTTCCCAAAATCGACATCTATCCAGATTCGAATTGACTGTTATACGATATGGTTGTTCGATAATCATTTGTTTCCATGCCATAACAGTTTTATTATTACCCAACCGTCTCCCTAACGATCGAAATTGTGGCCACTCCAATCCATCCAAATAATTGCCCGGTTGACCATATTTGGCGAAATTGGTCCACACTTTCATCATTTGTTTGCTTATTTTTCTATCACTGTTCTTGAATAAAATCTGATATAATGAGGGATCTGCAGCCCAGCCAATCATGATTGGTACATCAACTGCATGACAAGGACCCATCCAATGAAAACATAATGCAAGCATCATATACGGCGAAAAATGGTCGAAACGATACGAATAAACATTATTCACATTCGATTCATTTCGGGCTAACATTAAAGCATATTTCAGAGTGAATAGATATGTGGGACAACTAATTACACCATCCGATACTAAATCAACCAGTGCACGTCGTAATTCTTGATTCGATGGATATTCACGAAGATTTTTCGTATAAAAATCAAATACAGGTTCAATCAAATCAGGTGGCACTTGTAATTCCTTTAATATTTTAAGAAATAATCTTTGAACATCATCAAAGCTAAATTGACGATAACCATTTATAAGCTCCGGCAGAATATATGCTGTTATTGTTCCCAGTTCGCCATAGGAAAAACCACTTATCAAATCAACTGCATTGTAGATTCCTTCAGCCAGCATTTTGCTTGGTCGATCTGGCAGAATACCCGCTTTATCGCCAAACATAATGAACATTTTTTTCCCTTCGAATATCGATGGCAAATCAATTGATAATGTTTTGAATGTTAATTCTTCAACGGTTTTGTTTTGCAAACAATCCACCATTCCATCCATATTATCGGTTGGGCATTTCATTCTTTCTGCAAATTGTAATGATTTTTTCAATGAATTTTCCGGTGAAAATGGTAGAAACTCACTAACTGAACCGGATCTCATAATTGCTCGTTGAAAGAGCCCTTTGGCTAATGGTGATATTATCATTGTAGAAAGACTCATCGAACCGGCCGATTGACCAAATACGGTTACATTGCGCGGATCACCGCCAAAACGTTCAATATTCTCCTGAATCCAACGTAAAGATACAATCAAATCATGAATACCTTGGTTGCCTGGTGCACGATCGGTACCCGCATAAAGAAAACCGAATGCGCCAAGACGATATTGGACAGTGACAACTATCATATCACCCGTATCAGCCATATGACTGCCATCGAAAATAGTTGTACGAATAACATTAATATTTGCTATATGAAATCCACCGCCATAAAAATATACAATAACTGGTTTCAATTTATCAACATCATCAACTGGTTGCCAGATATTCAGGTGCAGACAATCTTCAATTCTCGATATGAACGGGAAGCCTTGTGGACAACCACCACGACTGAATGTCGCATCATAAATACCCAACCATGGTCGTGCCATTTCGGCTAGACCAAATCGATGGAAAACTTCAGCATAACGTAGTGATTTATAGAAATACATTTCACGCTTTCCGATACTCGTTTGGAGTTTACCGCGAACGCGTGCACCATTTAGCAATGTTACAATACGATGCGATGGCGTATCGCTAAAAAGTCTACGACTGCTTCTGTTGTTGCAACCAAAACCACCTTGGACCACTTGATAATTGTTTGAGCATCGATGTTGTTGTGCTGATGATATTGCCACCACCACTATTAAGCAAATTAACCAATGGATGATTATCTTTGAACAAATCATCATTTTTGATTTTCAAAATGCGAAACGTTTGGTTTGCTTTATATATTGAATGATTTGGATCGTCCTCATTGAAATTTGCAAGAAAAAATTAGTAACTATTTTTCCAAATAATTTCCGTTTGTTTTTAGTTTGAATTTTGGATTTGATAAGCTCAATGATCACGAACATGCACCTTGATCTGATTTCCAATTTACATGATTATCGCGATCAAACAAATTGATTTTCAAAACGTTTTTTATTTCTTGGAAATTGCAACTTTTTTTGGAAACGTTCTTTTTGAACGGTTCCTTGCGCGCAAGCGTTGTTGAGTTGATATTCTGCTTTCGATCGATTTGAAGTGGATGATGCACTGAGAAAAAAGTCCAATTTGGATGCCGTAATAACGCCAACATTGAGGTATGCACGCCATCAAAAAAAGCATGTAAATGTGTTAGCGATTGGCGTGCAAACCTCAAAAAAATTGGCGTGTGCAAACCACACTTTTCTCTCAGTGTGAGCAGATGGTTTTTCTTTTGTGTTTTGGTTTGTTTTCAACTTGGTTTAGATTCTATCAATGGCTACACCTCAAGAAACACATCGCAAACGTAAAATTGCTTTACGAAAATTCAATGATTATTTCAATAGTTTTATTGATGGCCATGGAGAGGAAATTGTGGAGGAAAAAAAGGAAATACGAAATCTAATCGAACAGATTCGCAAATACAATCGGGATTTAGCCGATGATGATTTCCTATTCGAAGAAGAATTATACGAACGTTTCAATTCACAAGCACATCGTTTGGCTAAATTTCTCAACGGTTCACCCATTATTGATGATTCGAAAGAGAAAAGGACTAGCAATCAAAATGAAATCAAACCAATGGAAAAGCCCATTGAAAATGATGATATTGATAATGATAATGAACCTGATCATATTGATTGGTTACTTGCTGAATACTACATTGGTCAACTAGAATTGAGAGACGATAATTGGTTTGATTACTATCCCCAAATGATGCACTTCATCATATTCGAACCAAAAATGTCCTATGAAATGAGGATTGGACATCTCCGCAAAACTATTGCCCATAATGCTAAAGCCAATGAATTGATTGATAATGAAACATCATTGACAAATGCTGTCGATATTCTAAGCAAACATTTCAATCACTTGTCATGGCAAGATCGAGAAATGACTGTCAAAAAACTGATCGATACATTTACTTTCATTGCCACTCCTGCAGCTGATAAGAAAAATTTTCGCGAAGTATTTCACATTGCATTACACATACGATACAATGTTCGCCAAGGATTTCAGCAAAAATATTTCGAAATGATTAGAGATAAATTGCCACTTTGGTATAGATGCAATTCGCTTGGCTATTTGATACGAATGTTTCGGGCAAAACTTCGCGTATTTGATGCGGTGAATGTTTTAGAAAGGGGCAAATATCAAGAATTAGAAGGATTGTTTGATCGGTTAATCGTGAATCATGAGCCATGTCCAATTTGTCATCATCTTTACAAATGTATTCGATGTCATCCCGTTGTTCGATGTAGACATTTGAATGAATTCTGTAATCGATTTCGAAAGGGTCAAGACATTTCCATGTCTATGAATAATTTATCCATTGAAAGTTGGAAATGAAAATGTCTACTCAAAAAATTAATCTTTTTTACAAATCATGTCATTCAATTACACTGACTTTTTTAATAAAGAAATGTTTTATTCTCGATTAAATTGTTTGATAACATTCATTTCCTCCAATATCATCAAACGAAATTGATGACAATAGCCATGTGCCATAACAGCTCCAATCAGATAGATTAGCGTTGCGAAACGATAGGGCACGGCTAAATATTCGCTACCCACCGACAATATCATCTCATTAAACATGAATGCTATGTATGCTAATATTACATAATATTGCTTCCAATAGATCGCCAATGGTAGGTATAGGGAGAAGATCATTATTGCCACCAGATTTGCAATCAAAAATGCGCGCCATAATGGTTCAAGATGTCGTCCGAATGAATCGAATTCCGCTTGATCAGAATTCTGATCCGAATGCAGTGGATTGGATGATGGCACACCATTCAAATTACGATCATCGATGAATTGTTTCATCCATATGGCCACATAGATCGTTGTTGCCATTGTTGCCATTACACTGATCAGCATTATTATCTTCCATAATATTCGTGACTGATTATCATTCACAGCCATATTTTCATCAATTTGTTTTCATATTCAGCCAACAACGCATCAACAACAATCACCGATTGCCATGACACTTATCCATTGGATGATGCAAATACCATGGAAATAATCATCAGCATCGTTTGCCATAAAAAATTCCTTTTCTATCACCAACACTAGATGGCTCCCGTGTTAAATATATTCTTTATTCAGCAACAAAAAAAAATTAAATAATCATCATCATTGCTGGAAGCTATGTGAATATTCATCAAAATGAAATTTGTCAATTTTATTGTCATTTAATATTCAAAAGGAATAAACCAAATTAAAATTAAAATGTCCTTTATTTTTTCTATTGTTTTTAGTTTCATTCGTTTTTCATTCAGATCCAACAAAGTACTATGGATGGAAATGACATTGCCGTTGGCTAACACTATATTGGTTCTCGACAAATTCATTTCGAATAAATAATGGAAAATATGATCCATAATAATATCACATCATACAATATCCATTCATAATCCATTATCGGGGTATAACAAAAATGATTTTTCAACTTTTTAAAAAGTTTTTCCAAAAAATCAGGATATGATATATCGGCAGTGCTTTAACCGAATTAATGTCATGAACAAAAAAAACTTGATTCGATTTGATCGTCATCGTGGTGGTGATCATCGTGATTTGCATATTTATTATCATCTTCCCAGCAAACAACGATTATGGAAACAAACAACATTCAGGTCAACTGCAAACAAAAACCAATGGATCCAGGTGGAAAATGCTAATCACAAATATCCACCCACACCTAGGCCCATAATAATAATTTGCATGTTAACCTTATTCTCTCTCTGTGTGTTTTAATTAATATTATTACCATTATATTATTGTTATTTGCCACCCAATTCTCTCCCCCATTCTAATCTTATGATTGGGTGGTGGCCCAGATCGTGAACGAAACCGAAATAGATCTGGATCATCATGGGACAGTGTTACACCCTTTTTTCTGAATTTCGCCTCACTTTGGTTACTTTTATTCCTTTTCTTATCTGATTGCCACACCCATCATCATTGTCATGATACTGCATATGCGGAACATTTTCATATTTATTGATTGCACAATCATCATTCTCACGATTACCACTAGTTTTTCCGAAAAAAGAGTGGTAAAATCACCTTCTTCGATTGTGGATGACATTGTGGAACAATTCACATCATCATCATGGACAGAATGATGAAGTGATTCAATAAGAAACTAAATTTTGAAATTTAAATTTTCGGAACGATGATGTCAACCAACCAAACGACTGGAAAAATTGAATATTCTCCGTCCAGGTCTCCAGAGATCATCATCTTGGAATGACAACATTAAATCTTTTTCTCTCTTTCATGGTTGACAAACACAGAAAACAAGAATTTTTGATTTTTTCCGAGCGAAAACGAACTGATGATGATGACGACCAAATCACATTCAAATTCAATGATGATCCAATCACACGAAACAATAGCGAAATAAAATATTCATGAAAAGAGGTCTCCTGTGATATTCATCAATTCAAATTCAAACAGGGTGTGTGTGAGTGACATTTTGAGTGACAAAGTATTTCTTCAACAAAACCAAATTCCATAGAAAATGGAAATGCAAAATTTTCTTTGTGAGAATTTTGCAAATCAATAAACTTTTTTCAAAATGAATGGATTAATGGATTTGAGAGAAAAAAGTTTCCGGAACAAATACCTGTGAAGGAAGTTTTTTTGGGAAATAAAAAATTTTCCCGGTAATCATCAATCATCATTGCTTCAAGGCCATATCGACTTTTATTAGTTGTATTTTGAATTGGCAATGTTTTTGTCTGCTTGTTTTGATAAATGATAACCGAATTGAAATAATATTAATAACGGTGTTTGCTTCATTTGTGGCATTATCGGAATGAATGCAATTATAATCATTATCCAATTCTAGCATGTTCACCAAAATAATAATCATTTATTCTCATCATGTTGTGATCATCCTATCCTATCATATTCATTATGTTTCATTTGCTCCATTCAAATCATTCGTGTGATTGTCAATGTTGCATTCATTCATTTTCATTTTCCTTTCAAACGAATTACACAACAATAGGGTTGATAATGATGGTTGTGGTTGTTGTGAAATTTGTCATTCTCCAGCATGGTGATGAACCGCCCATCGCCAATCGAGACTGACTTTAATTTTGCGCCAAACAAAACCAGAGCGAGAGAAAACATTGTGATTAAACAGACAAAGATCTAATTTCGCCGACTAAAACAATTCTCAATAGCCATTGTTGTTGTTGGTAGCTAAAACAACACTGGGTGCATTCATGCAGAAATAGCCCGCGAAAATGTCATGCCAAATGAAAGTGGTGGTTGAGAGAAATATTTTTGGTTAGGGTTAATATTAAATAATAATTAGCTAATTGTTTTTCATCATCCACCAATGTAAAGCGAGAATGAATGATGATCATCATGATTCTATAATTATTGGTGATAATGTATTATTATTGCATTTTGAATAATCTTATTCATTCATTACAGAAAATGATTGGCGAATTTCATCAAACAACAACAATCAAAAGAATCTTGCTCAATTTGCATTTGGGAATTGATCATCAAAACAAATTGATTCGGTTTCAGTTTGATCCGATTATCATGCGAATGTTGTTGTTGAAACAACACAAGCAAACAGGACGAACTAAGGAAAATATTGATCCCACATCCAAATAAATCATTTTGGTTGTTCCACCATTTCATTTCATCGATGATGAACATGGTGGTCTGATCAACAACTGACCATTTACATACGGAAAAATCGATCAGTGGCTCAATTTGGGCGTTATGTTGTGATATTGCTGGTGAATATATTTTCCTCGTCATAATTATAGATTCCACAACAGAAAAGAAACATTTTTCCTGACTCTCGGATCGTTCGAGAAATTCCCAAATGCAATGAATCAATGGATATGTCACGAGATCTACACATAAAAGCTTTTTCTGTTTTTGTTCAATACCTTGATGGTGGCCTAGATTTATTATTAATTATGATTTCTGGTGTGATATATTCATGCTTTTGTTTGTTACACAAAACTGGGTATAAGGTTTTTTAAATTTTGTTGAAATTATAAATACTATGAATCATAACATTGGTGTGAATATGAATTGTCTGCTTTTTCAAATTCAACAACAACAATTTTTCATTCCCGTCCGACTATCCTGGCCAATTCAATTGAATTGAAAACAACCACAAACAAATGGACGAAGAAATTGTTGTTGGGTATTTTAGAAAAGTGATGATGGTAATCAATTTGGCTCAATCTCCCGATTATCATTCAGCAACATTTATTGACCGTAATAATTGAGATGGAAGCAAAAATGTTTGACAAATATGTCTGTCTTGTCTGCTACAACCTCTTGCAACCCAAATTTTTCTCCGAACGGAAAAATCTTTTAAATCGAATAAATTCTTTCCTTTTCGCATCTTTCAAACTAAGAAAGGGAAATTGTCATCGTTTATAGCCCGACCAACTAAAGGAATAAAAACAGATTTTTTATCCAGTTTTTTTTGGTGAAAATGTGAAAAAATGTTGAAAAATGAAAAATAGAATCCATTTTAGAAAAATTGTAAAGAATAAAATGAATGTCCCCACGGGTAAATTGACCCCTTAACAAATCAATTGAATTGCATTCCATAAACGAAAAAAATTCAAGAATTAAATTTCATTCTCACAACTGGTGTATGGTCCATTTGATAACGATTTTCAATTTTTTTGCTTTTATCGCAGTTATTGTTATGTGGAGAGACTGAATTTTCAACAAAACAATTTGAAAACCATTCAGCCAGCCAGCCAACCAACCAGAAAAATGATGGATTGGTTCCTATTTCATTTAGAAACAATTTTCCATTGAAAACATTGCGAGTGTGCAAAGCGAAAAGGAAATGATGAAAACATGGAATTTTGGAAAACAAATGATGCTTATGCTCATCATCATTGGCATCATCATGGTAATGATGATGATGTTAATAATGAACCATATGGGTCATCATCATTAGTGATAATTATCATTGAATTATCATCATCATATTTATCGATTGTCATTCGATACATTTCGAAAGATTCTTTTCGTAAATTATCATTCCATTTTAAATTCTATTCACGTAAAGCACCTTTTCTTCGGTTTGAAAAAATAAATTCAATTTGACTGGGGCAATGAAGTGAAAACGATCATCATTATCAAATGACAAACAACGCCAAACGGTACATAAATAATGACAACAAATAAATGCCTTTCCTCATCAACAAAACATGGTGATCATCATGATTGAAAGTTGTTTCAATTTTCATGTTTGTTCTCGGTTTAATTTAGCTGGATGGATAATGTTTTGTTGTTGAGTAGGGTTGTCCATTTGTCGTTGTTGATGATAATGATAATGATGATTACTAACCAACAACAACGCCCAATCCTCAATTGATCCAATCCAAACACTGGCAAAACAGAGAAAGAAAAACAAACCAT